GCAGCTGTTAACAGTGGCTGATAGGTTCGTGGATTGAATCCTGTCCCTCCCCAAATTCCTCTGTGCAATCTTAGCCCCTAGAACCTCACAATGTGACCTTAACTGGAGACAGGATCTTTACGGAGATAAAATTTAATTGAGGTCATCTGGGTGGACTTAATCCTCTATGACTGACTCCTTGTAATAAAGAGGAATTTTTTTTTTTGGAGAGAGAGAGAGAGAGAGAGGGAGAGAGAGAATCTTAAGCAAGCTCCACACTCTGTGCGGAGCCGGACTCAGGGCTCAATCCCATGACCTTGGGATCATGACTTAAGCCGAAATCATGAGTCGGAGCCTCAACTGACTGAGCCACCCAGACGCCCCGAGAAAAAGGGCCTTTGAAGGCAGAGGCAAACACACAGGCAGAAGGGGGGGTGCGCACGCTAAGGGGAGTGGTGGGGCACAGAGTCCCCCGCACAGGCACAGCCGCAGAGAGAAGCGACCAACTCTGCCCACATCTAGGGCTTCTAGTCTCCAGAGCTGAGAAGCAGGAGGTTTTTGTTTAAGCCGCTCCACTTCCTTTCAGCGGCCCTAGCAAACTAATACAATATGCTCGTAAATATTTTCTAGTAGTCTGGAAACTTCCCTCTATCTAAACTCACTGTTTTTACAGAAATACCATTACCTTATTCCTGCCACCATGCCACTAATTTTTCCCTTTTACGATATGCGAAGTGCACCTGCTCATTCTTGTAAGCAGCGCTCAGAGTCACTCCCTGTTCCCGTGCCTTTATTTCCCCTGGAATCTCTGAGGGGAGACTTAGCTGACTTCCAGGCTGTTGCTCTGGAAACAGCAGCGATGGGGTGATATTGCCACCTATCTCGCAGCGGCCATCCACGTGGAGGCCGTCGTCCAGAGGTGGCTGGGCCCTCCTAGGGCTCAGGTCTCCAGCCTCCGTGCTAGAGAATTCGTGGCCGGGTCCATCAGGTATGAGCTGCTAGCACGCCTGCCATCTACGCTTTTAACTCTGCCATGTACGTTTTGAGAAACCTAAAGTTTGTGATTTTCTTTATCCAGATCGTGCCCATTTGCCATTAAGGTTATTGAAATAACCTTGAAAATTTACCTGTCTTTCTTCCCTCCCTGTTGTAAAAAAGGTTGTTGGGGAGCCTTGTGGTGGCTCAGTCGGTTGAGTGTCCAACTTTGGCTCAAGTCATGATCTCGAGGTCTGTGAGTTGGAGCCCAACGTCGGGCTCTGTGCTGACAGCCTAGAGCCTGGACCCTGCTTTGGATCCTGCGTCTCTCTCTCTCTGCCCCTTCCCTGCTCGCATTCTCTCTCTCTCTCCCTCAAAAAAAACCAAACATTAAAAACAAAAATGAAAATAACACTTAAAAAATCAATTAAACCTGAAATAAAAATAAAAAGTTGCTTGATAACGTCTAATCAGTGGCTGTTGGCGTGGGAAGCGTACCTGAGGATTGGTTTTAGCGGCGTCCCTGTGTTCATGCCCCTCGTTACCCCTTCTAGTTTTCAGCGGCTGCTTGGATGGTCCCAGGAGCTGATCGCATTGTGTCATTATGTAATGGTCATGTTGCCTCCTCCTTTCTAATAATCACATTCTATTTCTGGGGCCTGCCTTACTGGGTTAGGCAGAACTTCCAGAATAATAGTAGGTAAACCGGCGAGGGTGGGTGTCTTTGAATCTTTCTTCATCCCACTCTGTGTTCCCTCCATCCCGTCCTCATGGTAATCTGTGACGGCGCTCCAGAGGGCCGGGCTCCCAGCCTCTCCGGTGGAGGTAGTGTCTGCTGCCCCCTCCCCCCCAGCATGTGCTTGGGGCCTGCCTTGAGGCAGACTGCATTTTCCTGTAGGAAACACACGTTCAGAATCCGTGAGTGGACAGTTAGCTCTGGGACAGTTCTCCTGGCACCGGGATTTGGCCTGAAGCTAATCTCTCCTCAACATCAGTCGCCATTTAATTCAAAGTGACTTTGTCTTCTGGGAATTCAGAAAGACTTTGGAAGCAGGATATAGATGCCTGGGGTTTGGGGGGGATTTTTAAGCTTTTATTTATTTTGAGGAAGAGAGAATCCCGAGCAGACTCTGCACTGTCAATGCAGCTTGACGCGGGGCTCGATCTCACAAACCATGAGATCATGACCTGAACTGAAATCAAGAGTCAGACGCTCAACTGACTAAGCGACCCAGGCGCCCTGGAGCAAGGCACTCGGAATAGATCCCTGTCCAGGGAATATGTTTCTCTGTATTTATTTCTGTAGCAAGTAGCAGCCTTAAAGCCATTTATTTGAGAAGTCCTGTACTCCAAGTGAAGGATCGATCTTGCTTAAAGGAGACCTTTGTATTGCTATGAAGACAATATATACACAAAATAAATGAAAACTTTAAAAAAAGAAAATCCAGGGGCGCCTGGGTGGCTCAGTCGGTTAAACGTCCGACTTCGGCTCTGGTCAAGATCTCAGGGTTCATGAATTCAAGTCCCACGTCGGGCTCTGTGCTGACAGCTCAGAGCCTGGAGCCTGTTTCTGACTCTGTGTCTCCCTCTCCCTCTGCCCCTCCCCTGCTCACACTGTCTCTCTCTCTCTCTCAGAAATAAATTTTTAAAAAATATTAAAAAAATTTAAAAAAAGAAAATTCAAAGTCCTACTACCCTGACACAAAAATTTTATTCTTTTTATTGTTCTTGTTCATTTACTTCTTGTCTCTGCCCATCTATTTATCTTTACCAGAATTGCAGTCGTTGAATTAATATAATTCGTGCATTGTTTGCTTCATTTAATTTAATAAATGTGCTCACAGTTCTATATAATCTGCATAGTGATGGAGCTTCATCGCTGTGTTATGTTCCTGTAAGTAACTGAATGGCACTTTAGTTAACCATTTCCCTAATACTGAGCATGAGGCTTCCAAGCCACCTTTTTATTTACATATACAGTGAATATTTTTCTCTCAGGGCTGTTCCTGCTTTTGGATTACTTCCTCAGGCCAAACCCAAGAGTGGAATTATGGTGTCAAAAGAAGGTAAGGCTTGGGGTGCCTGGGTGGCTCGGTCGGTTGAGCATCCAACTTCAGCTCTGGTCATGATCACATAGTCCGTGAGCTTGTGACCTGCATCTGGCTCTGTGCTGACAGTGCAGAGTCTGTTTGGGATTCTCTGTCCCCGGCTCTCTCTGCCCCTCCCCTACCTGCGTGCTTGAACACGCTCTCTCTCTTTCTCTCTCTCTCTCAAAAAATAAACATTAAAAAAACAAAGAAGTTAAGGCTTGTAGGACTTTTATGTCCCTCCTGAGGAGTTGTGCTGAGTCCCCAGATGCTAGCAGAGCAGGGGTGGCCAGGTCCACTCTGCATGGTGGCTCCTTCTCTTCAGAAACAGGTGCCACAGCATTGCTGTCACCAGAGTTCCGGAGTAGGGTTTTAGTTGTGATGGTTCTCCCCTCCGGTCTCCAGCCAGAGACAGCTGTACTGCTGGGGGTAGGGCTCCACACACAGGTGGGACTGGCTGGGGTGACTCCAGCGTGGTCCTAGGGCTTGCAGCCCAGGATGGAGATCAAGGACATGATCCTGGAGTGTTACACATGCTCAGAACAGGTAAGGTTGCTCCTGGTCACGTGCCTGCCTCGTGCACTGGAGTGTGTCTGCAAACGCCGATGGGTAATGCTTTCAACCATGTTTAAGGGAAAACTGCTTTGTGGCATTTTGCCCAGAGCACTCACTGAGGTAGACAACGCCAGCTACCTAAAGTTACAAACATTTTAGGTTCTTTACAAGATGTGGAACTCGGGGCTCCTGGGTAGCTCAGTGGGTTAAGTGTCTGACTTGGGCTCAGGTCATGATCTTGTGGTTCCTGAGTTTGAGCCCCACATCGGGCTCTGCACTGACAATGCAGAGCCTGCTTGGGATTCTCTCTCTCTCCCTCTCTCTTTCTGTCCCTCCCTCACTTGCTCACACTCTCCCTCTCAAAATAAATGTAAAAATGTATATATAACAACCTATATTATATATGTTATATTATGTTAATATTATATATTATATTACATTATTATATTATACATATAACTAGGCAGCAAGACTTCACTGCAAGAGCAAGGTTAGTATTCTGATTCCTCTGAAGGTGCTGTGATGAGCCCCCAGCCGATGTACCCCCCTTGATCATATCTGCAAAGTCCATTTCACCATGTAAAGTAACAAATTCACAGGTTCCGGAAATTAGGACTAGGACATCTTTAGGGAGCTATTATTTAGCCCACCGTCCAGGGGCGCGCACACACACACACACACACACACACCCCACACACACGCGTGCACACGTGCACCTTCCTACTATTTACGTCCTCTACCAGAACTACACTTTAAAAGGTAGCAGTTTCATCAGCAGCCTAGAAAGACCTGATAAGATGAATCAGCCTTGGTTAGTGACTAATAGAGAAGAATGTGAAATGCAAAACAGGAGAGAGCGTGACAAAAGCCGGCAGCCATTTCAATACATTTCTGCAAGAAAGTAAAAGCAAAAGTCTCTGGAGGAAGACAGCTTTGCTCTTTGCTCAGAGCTTGTCCGGCTTTGGGGCCGATCCGACGGGCGGCCTGGAAGGGGAAGAGTCGCGTTATGTGCAGCCCGCGGGGAGGGGGAACCATTCCAGTCGCGGTGCCTGACCCTTGCTCAAGTGTGCACAGTGCTGCTTCAGGATGAATGAAGAAAATCTCAGTCCTGGAATATTGAAAACTCCACTCTCAGTCCCTTTCCAGGGCAGTTGTCACAGCCTGTTTTATTATCTTTCAAATAATAAAGGAAATGGATGTTTTCCATGGGAGCTAGTTATAAGAGCAGTCGAAAGTTAATGACACCAGATATGGTAATTAAAGTCATAGTACTTAGAATCTAACTGCTGCCTGGATAGCCCCTCACCTCACCATCATCATCGTCGTCCTCCTCCTCATGAGCTCTAATCTCATCCAACTGCACAGAGCCCGCCCCCTCCCTCCGGCCACAGTGGATATCAGAACTGGGTCACCAAGACTACCAACGGGTCTTGGTTAAGTCAGCTCACCCAGGTCCCCATAACCACTTCTAGCTGCTCTGTCTGCTCTCATCTGTGCCTCACCCTCCCCTCCAAATTAGACCCAGGGCACTTTCACCCTGAAAGGCCCAATAAAGCTTTTTCTAGAAACGAGGAACCTGTCTCCAAGTACCCTGTCTCCACTTCAGGCAACAGAAAGCAGCAGCAAGATCTTGGATTTTACGCATTTGTTTTCAGCCTCTCCAGTTGGATTCTAACACAAGGGCTATGGTCAGCATCGCTGTTCTCCACCTTCCATCCCCCATAGTCTGTGGTACTCCAGTGGGACAGACGGCTCTCCCCACGCAGAGCAAACCTCAGGAACCACAGTTATAAACCTCCCTCCTCCCCTCCGTGCTGAATCATAGTGGTAAATTGTCTACTACCAGTTCCCTGGGGAGCTCATGCTTTTGGAGGCCAGGGGCTGTCCTTTCCTGGCTCTCAGCCCTCGGTAGATGCTCATCACATCGTTCCTGACTTGTTGGAATAGATTTCAGAAGACACGTAGGGATACAGGATCCGTATATTGAGACGTGCTCTCTCCGGTACCCGGGCCTTGCTCCCTGTATAACGGTCCTGGCTGGAGGGCAGGACGCATACCCTGGAATAACCCGGAACAACACAGAATAGGTTGGAGCAGGTACTACCAGCTGAGGGCCAGGCTGGACCCTTCCACCCACATCTACTCAACATCTAGTGTCTCCGGGGCTATTTCCCTAGCAAAGCTAGGGTCTTGCCTTGGGAAAGCTTGGAGCCCACAGGACAGTATGGGGCAGAACATGAGCACTGGACCCCAAGGGCCTGACTCTGATGCCAACTCACCCAGGCTGCAGGTTTTACCTCTCACTGAAACATGCTACCCTAATGAGGGAAAGCTCCGTTCCATCCACAGTGAGAGCAAAAGGGGAGTAGGGAGTGGGTGGCTCAGGAAGCTATGCTCCCCCAAGGGCTTTGCCGACAGAGGTCACTTTTTCTGCCTTGGGGGCCTCACCCTAACAGCAGGCACCCAGGCTCTTGCAACAGACGCTGTCCATCAGCCGGCAGGCTGCGCTATGCTGGACAGTGTCCAGATCCCAGGCTTGCCCAATACCACATCACTCAGGTCAGTGAGGCCTGGGCCCAGCCAAGCCAGCCTCTGGGACAGCTGCGCAGCCTGTGTGTCCAGGGCCAGGCCTAGCTGCAAACAGAGCACCTCCCGGCTCCAGGCTCCAGCTGGAAGTCCAGGTTGAACTTGGGGTAAGGGTGGAGATGGGAAGGACACCTGTTGAATTGTCTTGATTTGCTCTTCCTCTAGCACCTGAACCCCTCTGGGAGGCTCACAACTGAGCCACTACGCTTCCCTCCCATATGTGCACACAGCGGGTGTTGTGATCCAAGCCCAGCCAGTCCTCCCAGAGAATGCGAGGAAGAGGAGGAGGGCAGCTCCCTTGATGGCCTGATTGTAAAGATGCGTCGGAGGCCAGGCCCCAGCCCCAAGGAGGCCTCTGGGAGGACATGGCCAGGCTCCAGAGGCCAAGGGTCAGCTGGAGGCACTGAGAACAAGAGGCCTGGCCGTGACAGCTCGTCTCGCTGCCCCCCAGGTCCCCAGAGCTGACCTCCGTGGCTTCTGGGAGCACTCCAGCCTTCTCAATCTTCTGTGCTTAAGTTAGTACCAATTCCGTTTCCAAAGAAGCCCTGGATGACGACAAATGGATTCTCCAGGAAGCAGGAGGGTTAACTTTACCCCCTCCCTGGCTCCTGGGACCACCAGCTGCCAAGGGGTGTGGGTGCACTGGGTGAGGGCAAATCCCAGCCCTGCCATGTCAGGGACACCACTTAGCTTGTGTGCCTCAGTTTCTACATTATGAAATGGGGATACAGTAGCTCCCCCCCTTACCTGCATGGGACACATTCCAAGGCCCTCTGATACCAATTAGTACCAAAGCTTGCGTAGACTGTTTTTCCCTATATATACATACTACCATGATAAAGTTTAATTTGTAAATTAGACACAGTAAGGGATTAAAACGGAACAATTATAGCAAGATATTGTAATAAAAGTTAGGTGAATGGGGTCCCTCGCTCTCGAAATATCTTACCGTGCTGCATATTGTACTCTACACACCCTTCCTCTTCTCATGATGAGATGAAGGGAAGTGAATGACGTGGTATGAGGCTAGTATTTATTTACCTTCTGACAATCCATTTGAAGGAGGATCATCTGCTTCCTGGCTGCAGTTAACGGAGGGTAACTACAACCTTGGAAAGCAAAACAGTGGATGGGGGAGGGGAGGCTACTGTAAACTAAATACCTGATTCATGAGGTTGTTGTGAGGACTGCATGAGTTTACAACCTAGTAAGCCTGACACAAACATCACGTGAAAGCACACGGCAGCCTCGTGAAATGGAGCCAGAAATGGTGGCATTTATCCCCAAAGGTTAAGATTTGGGGTACGGGGCAGCCCGACCAGAGTGGCCCCTTATGACTGAGCCAAGCCCTCAACTCATTCCAGTGGTACCTTCACCGGCTGCCCTGCTTCAAGGTCTTATTTTCTCTTGCCGGGACTCCTGCAAGCAGCTTGTGCAATACTTGCCACGCGGATGGGTTCTGACCATCTGCTGTGTTACAGGATGGGCGAGGGAGGAGGATGGGGAACATGGCAGAGGAGGGGCTGAGGAGCTGAACTTAGGGAAACAGGCAGTGGCAGAAGTCTCCAGCACCAGGAAGGGGGAAGCACAGGACTCCAGTGAAGTCACAGAGGGACACCTGCACCGCCCACACTTTGGGGCCTCTCTGAATGAGTGGCGTCTAAGCTTGGGACAAGAGTCAGCCAGGCGACGGAGAAGTGTTCCAAACAGAAGGGCTACCACGAGGTGTTCCTCACTGGTCTTCCTGACTCCGGTCTCCTCCCTGCCTGGCTCCTCTCCCACCAGCTCACGGAGAGCCAGAAGCTTCTTTTAGAAAGAAAGCTCAGTCACTCCACACTTTAAGACCATTCAATGGGGCTTCTGGAAATAAAATTCTAATTCCTTGGCTCTTTCTCCCCGGTCCACGTGGTGACCCTCATGTTTCAGACGGCCATTCCTCCAGGACCCCTGTCCGACTCCACCCTCCGCCCAGCGCCTATTTCAATCAGAGACGCAAATGGACGTGAGAATTTGTGTTCAACAAGCTAGAACTATAGCCAAAGAAAGTACTTTACAAACGTGGAGGAGACGAAAAGGGGGATGAGATCGGAAAGCGTCCACGCCCTCCAGCAGGCTGCTGCTCGTCCCCCGCCGCCTACCCCCGCCACCGCCCCCTCCGACTCCGGGGCGGCCTGCTCCTTTGCACCCCGGGCACTGTGCCGGGTACACAGCGGGCGCCCCAGCCACCGAGGCGGTCAGCGGGGGCCCAGCCGCTCCCCCAGCGCACGCAGGGCCCAGCACCCCCGATTCGCAGGTCCAGGCACGGCTCACGACGAAATCAATGGAAGTAGGAACTGCAGCTCTGAGCACCGGACACTCGGGTGCGCAAGCTCCCGGAACAGCCTGGGCGACCCCGCCCCCGACCGCTACCCTCCAATCAGCAGGGGCGACGAGTTCACGCCCGCCCCTGGACGCACTCTCGACCAATGACCGAGGCCCAGCAGGCTAGCCGCCGAGCCCAGCGCCGGCTGGCGCACGCCGCTGTTCGCGTGTCAGGCTCCAAATAAAGTTCGCCGGGGCTTTGAATTTTTTTTTTAAAGCGCCCGCCGCAGTCGCCTCAGCCGCGGGCGAGAGCGGCCGAGTCTCCGCCCCGCCACTTCCGGTCCCGCCGCCCGGAGCCGGTGCGGCTGAGAGGGGCCGCGTCTCGCCGCCGCCGCCGCCGGCCGGTCGGGCATGGTGTTGGGTGCCGGGCCCGCCTCGCCTGTCTCGGGGTGCCCAGGTGAGGAGCGCGCGGCCCCGCGGCGGGCGAGGGGCGGCCGCGGGCCTCCGGGCGACGGCGGGCGGGCGGCGTCGGGGCCGCCTCAGGCCTCGCCTCCTCACGGCCGGGGGCGCGGGGCCCGGGCGGCCTGACCGGGAAGGGCCGGGGCGCCGGCCTCCGCCGGGCTCGAGCGGCAGCTCGCAGCGAGCGCCCGCTTGTGCCAGCGCACACACGGCCTCGCTCGAGCCCGCCGTCGCGGGGGAGCTGCCGGCCGCATTGTCCAGACGGAAACTGAGCCCAAGGTCACCAGCCCGCCGAGGCCGGGGGAAGCGGGACCCGGACGCAGGCCGCCCGGCTCCTCCGCGCCTCGGGAGTCGGGCCGGGCCTGGAGAGCGGCAGGGGTGAGGAGGGGGGGCTCCCGCCTCGCGGGCCTGTCCCCGCAGCTGCCCGGCGGCTGGGGGCAGCCGCGGCTCGTTTGGAGGGGTTTGCCCGGGCCGAGGGGGCCGGAGGGGGTGGCGGCTTGGAACCGTCTGTACCACCGCGTCTTGGATTCCAGACCTGGTTCCGGCTCGTGTGTAAACTTGGGTGTGGCCCTCCGCGCCCTGGGCTCAGTTTCCTCATCTGTCACATGAGGGGACTGAGCCCTGCCCTCGGCATTCCCTCCCGCCCTGGAGCGGGGACTGGGTGGATCGGAGTGGCCGGGGAACGTTTCTTGGGGGAGATGTCGGAATCCGCAGAGGGACCTGCTGTCCCGAGGAAGGAGTAGGATTAGGTGGCGAAGGGAAGGAGGGCACTCCAGACCTGCATAGCATCAGATCGAACAGAAGCTTCCAGAAATGGGCAAGGTGGTGTTGAGGAGGCCAGCTTGCCGGAGGATTTCCAGCTGGGGATGGGGATGAGGGGGGTTGGTGGGGGACAGAGGAGTGGGAGAGATGCCGGGAGACAAGACATCACCAGGCTGGGTGGTGTGTGGCTTGAGGACCCCCCACCCCGATTTACCTGTCCTTCAGGAAGGAGGTGGCAGGTGTGCTGATGAAAATAAAGGGCTGGGCTCCCAAGGGCTGTCAGCCAGGCAGGGTGACTCTCCTGCCAGGTGGGAGGTTCCTGGGCCCTGGCGTTCTAAAGGAGGAGGGCATCCTGGACGTTCTTGTGTCCCCAGAGGGGCCACTTAGGTCGGAGAAGTTGGTTGTCCCCTAGCGACCTGCAGTTCCATTTTATACTCCAAGATTGGGACTTTTCATGGCAGGAAGGATTGGCAGTGACTGGCCCCTGCTGTCCCTGCACAGGTGACATGGCCTGACCTCGCCCTATGAGACTAGTCATCAGCACACCAGAGTCTCCTGCACAGTCAGAGCGGCTCCCCCCCCCTCCTCCCGGGAGGAGCTTCAGTGGGCCGACTGGGACCGGTGGCATTTAGAGATGGGGTGCTATGCAGTGCGGCCGGCCAGTGCCCAGAACTGCTGCCCTGATGGGGTGCAGTTTGCAGCAAGGGTGCGGTCCGGGTTTCCGCCAGGGCTTCCGTGGGTGAGGCGCCTTACAGAAGGCGAAGAGAATTCTGAAGCAGCGGCCGGTGTCCAGCAGACCTCCTGACAGTTTGGATCCTTTCTTTTTGTTCACATCTCTGTAGGGTATTCGCCTCATGGCCACGGGAACATCTCCAGACTGGGCCCTGGGTTTACCCCCGAAGTGGCACGCAGTCACAGTACAGACGGAGGGACGGGTGGCCGTTGGACGCTTAGGTTTCGTAGAATGCTAGGAAAGTGAGCTTAGTGCTATCTCCAAGGGACAACAGAACACGAGTGTCCCTGCCTTTTGTCCCTTGCCATTGGCGCCCGGTGTATTTGAGGGCCACGGACTTGAAGAAGCCAGGAATCTGGCTGTCAGTAGGGTTGAAGGCCTCGGTGGGGGGCAGGAGAGTCACAAAAGAAGCGGAATCCCAAAGCAGGGACAAGGAGGAGTGTGTTGGGGAGGAGCCTTTCTTGTAAAGGTTGCCGGATGCTGGGAGCGGCACCTTCCGCACAGGTCCTCAGGGAGCTGGGTGTGGACCGGCATGTGCCCTGGCACTGGCTTCTGCACACTGGGCGTCACAGCCTTCCTGGGGTACTGCGGGACTCTCTTTACACGCTCTGGGCCTTTGTTTTTCTTCTCGCCATGTTCGAATTGCCAAGGTCAGCTGGAGGGTACAGACCAGTCAGGCTCCGGGCAGGGTGCGCGTCTTGGTCTACAGGCAGCCCTACCCACGCAGCAGGATGGACGCGCTTAGCTCCGGGTGCATGGCCTTGGGGCTGGCCGGGGAGGCAGGCTCTGCTGGGGGGTCCAGACCTGCTGAAGGGACTCCTGACGAGATTATTCCAGGTGGGGACTGAGCAAGAGAGCCGGGCTCTAAATGGAACTGCAGGCGGGAGCCCCCATGGGTGTTTCTGATTTCGTTCCCGCTCCTGGGCCCTCGCTCATGGGGTTTTGCACGGATAGGATACTTCCCTGGCCTGAGTAAAGCTCAGAAGGTGTGTGTTTGGCGGTTATGGTCCAGGCCACTGTGTAGGTTCACCTGGGGAGATGGCGTGGTCAGGTGGCAGTGAAGAAGCTCGTGTTGGTACGTTTTCACGATAGTGTCAGTTTTACTGAGGTGTAATTGAAGGATGTGAAACTGCACGTATTTGAAGTATGCAGTTAGATCAGTCTTGATGTACATACATGCCCCTGAAGCCGTCCCCACTCTCAGGATCAAAGTGTGCGCATCGTCTCCAAGAGGGACGCTGACGCTTCTGTGGTGACTGCACCTAGCAGCTGATTGGCCTCAGACAAGGCAGTTCCTGGGCCCTGTTGTCATGGGATCCACACCAATAAAAAAGAGTGGGAATTGGGGGTTGGAGAGAGAAATCCTTTCCAGATTTGACATGTTAGGAGCTTTGAATGCTTTGTGTAGTAGAACCGTCTTTTGAAGCATTTACACCAGTGGTTCTTGAATAGGTTAGGGATGTGTGTGTAGGTCACATATGATGCAGAAGATCATATTCAGTATGTTTTTTTTTATGGTACACATAATGGAAAATAAAATCTACCAGTCTTTGGAGGAAGGAGAGGTACACACAAGATGATGTGAAAAGCTATGTTAGGAACCTGGGTTAAAAATGGTTACAAATAGGGGCACCTGGGTGGCTTAGTAGGTTAAGCGTCCGACTTTCGCTTAGGTCATGATCTCGCGGTTCGTGGGTTCGAGCCCCGCGTCGGGCTCTGTGCTGACTGCCAGCTCAGAGCCTGGAGCCTGTTTCAGAGTCTGTGACTCCCTCTCTCTCTGACCCTCNGAGTCTGTGACTCCCTCTCTCTCTGACCCTCCCCTGCTCACGCTGTCTCTCTCTCTCTCTCCTAGAAATAAATAAAACATTTAAAAAAAAAATGGTTACAAATGCCAATGGGCGTTTGCTATCTTGGCCTCAAACTAAAAGTTTTGTGTTTGGGTCAAGTTTTTCATTTGGAAGTTTTAGGTCATTTTCTTTTGAAAACAATCAGACTGGTACTGAAAGGAAATAATATTAAAGTAACAAAGGAAATTATGTAAATATTGGGCCAGATCGCCAGGTCGGAAGATTTGTCACCACTGCATCCCAGGGCCTGGTGCCCAATGATGCTAAATGCATGGCTCTCCCTTTTTAAGTTTTTTTTTTTTTCTTTTTAAGTTTATACATTTTGAGAGAGATTGGGGAGGGACAGACAGAGAGGGATAGAGAATCCCAAGCAGGTTCGGAGCTGTCAGCACAGAGCTTGAGGTGGGGCTCGAACTCACAAACCATGAGATAATGACCTGAGCCAAAATCAAGAGTCGAACGCTCAACCAGCTGAACCACTCAGGTGCCCCATGTCTCTCCCTTTAAATTTTTCATTTGTAGTTTAAAAAATTAGACTTATGCAGGATAGCATAGAGATTTCCCAAATTGATTATGAAGGAATCCATTCTTATGGATGCATCTTATGTACGGAGTTTTTCTCTAAGTTACAGGAAACAGTTAACTACCTTATATTATTGTCTCCAATTTCCAGTCAGTGTCTAGAGATGTGTCCTTAACCCTGCTTTCGATCTGTCTTTCAGGATAAAGGTAGCAGTAATGCTGACGCTGGCGAGCAAACTGAAGCGGGATGACGGTCTCAAAGGGTCCCGGACGTCAGCCACGGCCTCCGACTCCACTCGGAGGGTGTCTGTGAGAGACAGGCTGCTTGTGAAAGGTGATGTCATCCACGCGAGCTGTTTTCTATCCTGTAACAAAATGAAGTCTGACTGGAGGCTCTTCTGGGGTATGAAGGGGCCTGCTGCTGAGTAGAAATACTTGTTTGAAAACATTTAAAGATACGATTGCTTGTCACTCACAAGGACTTTGTACTGTGCGCACAGTACGGGCACGCTAACAACCAGAAAACGTGGCATGTGCCTCACACGCTCGGATCGTGCTGTGTAGGGGCTGCCGGGATGCTAGCGGAAGGATTACGGTGGTGGGAGTTGGCTGGCCCGGGACTGGTCCTGGTGCCGTCAGTGTCTGGCTGGCGTGTGTGTGGCAGGGGAGGACCTTCCTTTCTGGTGCTCAGTCACAAGAAGCCAGGGTCCCTCTCCAACACCTCAGCATCCGTTTCTGGTCTGTATAGGGAGGGAGTGGAGGTCAGTAATCTCTTAGCATCCTTCTGTACTTTATTCAAGTCACGGCCTGAGGAGAGCCTTGTACAAAATTAGATCTCGTCACAGAATTAATAACCGAGTGCCCTAGAACTCTTGTCTTTGGAGGAGGGTTTGTGTAATGTATATGAGCGCGCGCGCGTGTGTGTGTGTGTGTGTGTGTGTGAGAGAGAGAGAGAGAGAGAATATGCATGTGTTTCTACGGAACTTTTGCATTCAGTCATTGAACAGACTTAGACCTGTCAGGTGCAGAGGCAGTGTCCTCGGGTCATGAGACTACCACAGATGAAGAAGAAGTAGTTCCTGTCCTTAGGAGCTCAGAATTTGCAGCACTTTCTGCTTTCTGGCATGTGTTTACATTTCTTAAGTGTGGAGGAGCTAGGAAAAAAGCAGGCTACACAGTTAGTTAGGACTGCCTGTTTTCCTGTTGCGGCAGGCAGACCCCGTGGGTTACTGGCATTCGTGTGTCCTGAAACGGACCTGGTGGCAGTAGAGCCGGTGTGTGTAAATGTGCTGTTTGTCCTCGGTGCTGCGCTTGGGCAGGTGCAGGAGCAGGAAGGCACCAGGCTCAGGCGCCCCCCCTTGTTCCTCCCGCCCCCGCAGCTTGCCTTAGCCCAGGCCTATCCCGCCTGATGGGTGGTGGGCTGACGATGGAGTGAAAATCATTTTGTACACTTTGGTGGCACCCATGACGTCAGATTGAATCCAGAATTGGTGATGGCACTGCGGGAGTCCGGGTGGGACCCGGGCCACGCTCCTCAGCTGATGGGCCCGGTAGGCCTTGAAGCCCTTCCCCAGATGCTGGCTCCAGGGTCCCATCTGCAGAGGAAGCCAGGAGCCACGCGAGCCGAGGAAGGGGTTTGAGGTGTTGACGCTTTCCTTAGGTGGGGGTATTGTAGCGCCCGGGGGTTACAGTGAGGAAGGTCCAGATGTTTGCTGAGGAGGAGCAGGTGGGAAGAAGCTGGTGGGCTGTCCCAGGTGCCTCACCGTGTCCCTCGTTGTGGTTAATAGCGGCTTCTGTACACTGGGTCCTTGGGGCCTGGCCCTCCATTGGACACTTTGGAAGGTAGTTCTCGTTTGGCTTTTGCTAGGCCTTGCCAGGTGAGTGGTTCATTTTGTAGCTAAAGAACTGAGACTCAAAGAGGCTAAGAAACTTGCCCAGATTACAACTGTGTTGTAGCAGGAGAGCCAGACCCACATTTTGGGGTGGGACAGGCTCTGGGGTAGCAGACCTGGCCAGCAAAATCTGAAGGAGCAGAAGTGCAAGTCCACTGAAAAGGGCATTCCGGGCAGTACAAGGACTCCTGCGCCCTGTCCACCCTGCTCAGGGACTCACCTACGAGCTCTCAGATGGCTCTGGGGCCCGATGCGGCCCGGGGTCGGGGGCCCACTGAGGCTCACAAAGCTAGACTCTGCTCTGGCTCCCAGTGTCTTTGACTGGGTTTACAGGGCCCTGTTAAGGTCCTTGATCTTGGGAGACTCATCAGAGAGATGCAGAACCACCTCATGAGGCCACCTGTTCCCGTCCTCCCGGGGCGCCGGTGACGATCGGGTTTCTGGGCTGGTTGTGGTAGCGGGGCTCAGTAACACACCCCTCATGTGGCCTGCTCCCTCCTTCTGCCCCAGGGGCCATTGGACCAGGCTGAGCTGGCTGAGTGGAGAGCAGTTTGAGCTTGTGATGGAGGCTAGGTAGAGAGCAGGGTGGGGCCTGACCTGACATTGGGGGCTGTGAAAAACCAGTGCGTAATAAAGGATGCCCTGATGGTCCATGGTCGCCTGGTCCACACCTACAGCGGTCCTCTGCTTGACTGGATGTGGCCGAGGTCTTCATTCTGGGGCTTTCTGACAGTGGAAGTGGTGTGTGGAGTCCAGGAGTTCGTAGCATTTGGGGGCACTTGGGATGATTATGGTGAAGCCTCTTGTAGGGGATGCCTGTTTGGAGACTTTGAGAGAAGTCGGGTGTGAGTTCAAAAAGATTGCTGTAGTCAGGACTGTCATCCTGGGCTGTGACTCGGCTCATGTGAGAATGTTACTTATGAGGATCATTAGGTTGCACAAAAGTGTACTGAGATTCAATGCCACCGGCTGGATTCCTGGGAGTGCGGAATCTGTCAGCAGGAGAGTTAGGAACGGGTACCCCCAGGACTGACACCTGCGGAGGGAGAGGAAGGACGTGGGCTTACGCAGAGTAAGAAACCGAGCAATCAGCCTCTGCTTCGGCAGGTGTAGTTCGGAGCTGTACCCCATCAGACAAGATGGTCAGGTCTTCCTGCTCGTGTTGATCAGTTGTCCCAGGGGGCTGTCCTGAGAGGAGGGTGGCCTGGGGTCAGGGGGTCTGTGCAGCCCGTACAGTTCCTGGAGGGACTGAGAGCTGAAGGCCGTCTGCTGACAGCCATGTGTTGGGGGAGGGGAGCGGCGGTTTATCCTGTCGCCCTGAGGTTGGGATCTGGCTTGATGCAGACGGCTGTGGGGTTGAGCTGACGGACGGACAGAGCAGAGGTCGGCAGGCCAGTCGTGGCTGCACAGCTGTAACTCCTGTTCCTTTTCTTGCCTCTGGAAGGCTGGAGTCCATCTCCCTGGAAACACCAAAGCCTGCCTGGGAGCAGCTGGCCGGTGGGCTGGGGGGGGTGCTTCTCCTGTGCTGGCACCTTGGTTACACCACCTTTTTATCTGCACCCCGTGGGTAACTGTCAGGGACGTCCCCCAGGCCGGAACTGGGGTGACGCCTGTAACAGCAGCAGCAGTGGCCCCTGGAGGGTGCAGAACAATTGAGTATTTCTGGGCTGAGCCCGGGAGCTGTTGTCTGCCATGAATCCTAGGACCTGGGGACACTGTGGAGAGAGTGTCAGATCTGTGCAGGTCTGGGCCTAACTTGGGAGCCTTTACCAGTGTTTTTAGCCACAAGGCAGGTGGCACTAAGTTCCTGGTGGACCTTTGTGGGGCCACTGTGCCCATCAGGTTTTAAGTCTGATGTGCTCCCCACCACCCAGAAAAGCCTAGTAGAGTCTTACTAGCAGAAGCTTGGCACCTTTTGTACAGTAGGGTCATATGTGTCTTTGTGTTCTTTCATTTCTTCACTCAACAAACATTTTAGTCCAGCCGTGTGCCAGCCTACTGTTAGTGACCTGCAAGACCCCAGAAGGCTCCAGGAAGGAGCCAGCAGGAACCTTCACCTCTGCCAGTCCTTGTCAGATGTGGGGACTTGGACTGAGCTGAGGTCAGGGTCAGCTCTGGAATTAGGGGAACGAGAGAGAATGAACCTGTGTGCACCTTTATCCACATCAGCCCCTGCACCCCAGGTGGTTTCTGGTGGCCTGGGGCTGTGGTGGGTGGCTCTCCATGCTCCAGGCCTGGAGCAGAGAGGCCTAGCTGCCCACCTCCATGTGCTCCCCAGGGGCTAGGGTGCAGGTACCTCCTCGGGGTGCCACATGGGGCCGCAGGTGAGCTGTGTCCACCTAAGCAGTTTGGTCATGGGATGGGATAGATAGGAGGGGCCTGTCCGGTGCAGTTCCTGAAGAGTGGGGGGAAGGAGAACCATTTATTGTTCTCTTTCTCCATGCCAGGCCCTGCTTGGGACTCTGGGGGCGGGCTCGAGGTTTGGCTCGCCATGTTTACAAAGTACTCGGAGTACTTAGCACTACAGTATGTATTTGATGTTTATTTTTATTTGATGTGTATTTTTGAGAGGGGAGGGAAAAGAAGGGGCAGAGAGAGAGGGAGACACAGAATCTGAAGCAGCCCCAGGCTCTGAGTTCTCAGTGCAAGGCTCGAACCCCCAGACCATGGAGATCATTACCTGAGCCGAAGTCAGATGCTTAACCAACTGACCCACCCAGGCACGTCACTGCTGTATGTATTTTGAAAACTGGAGCAGTGGCCCAGAAGGCGGAGTCCTGCCAACATGGAGCTAAGGCAGCTGGCCCCAAGGCTAACCTTTAAAAAATGCTTTGTTGAAAGGGTAAATACCATTGGAGCTGCCCAGGAAACTTGGTGGCCCCCTTGGGTGTGCCCAGTAGCCCAGTTGGGCGGGGAGGGTTGTGGAAGACAGACGAGGTTTCAAGTTGACCTTCTCCACTCCTGTTGAAAGTGGGGGTGGTATGAGGCCTTGGGCTCCATTCCCACTGATACCAGTCTCTGCTACAGCAGCTGTGCTGGTTTTCAGGGTGACAGCCTTGCTTGCTCTGAGTGTGAAGGGGACCGTGGGTGCTCTGTGCCCGCTCTCTGCAGTGTGCTGCTAGAGGGCCCTGGACTGAGCGGAGGGGCTGAGGTGAGGCTCCATGGGGTCCTCAGGCCTGGGTTCGAGCAGTGCTGTCTCTGGAGGAGCCGATGCCCTTAGTTCAAGTGTCTCCCAGACAAGGGCACGGTGCGTGGGTGCTGAGAGTACAGAAGGGTGCTCAACACATAAAGATAGGCGGGAAGCTAAGAGAAAGTTCTAGCCAAAGAAATCTTTGGCACTCGCCAAGCGCCTGGTGTCTCTTCTTATGAGGGCACTAATGCCATCGTGAAGGCCCCACCCTCATGACACCATCTAGTTCTCATCACCTCCCAAAGCCCCCACCTCCTAATGACATCACATGTGGGGACAGGGTTAGGGCTTCAACATAGGAACTTGGGGGGACACACTTTCCCAGCACCTTAGGAGCATGTTGGTCCCTAACTGTATGAGGACAAGGGCTCCTCTCATCTCAGGACAGTCACACAGGAGCACTGCCGGCTGCTGGCCAGGGTGCTTATTTGTTAAGCATTTCCTGAGTGACCTGTGTGTGTGCCGAGCCCAGGACCAAGTAGTGGGGTTGCAGGGCTGGGTCACACTGCACGGCCCCTGCCGGGAAGAATGCACAGACCTGAGTGGCCGGCAGCATGGAAACAACAAGAGCACTGTACTCTGAACAGCCTGGCAGAAAGGGGTATGTGCCATGTGAGGGCCACTGTGGTCATCAGGTGGATTTGTAATCTGAAAATTTCAGCCCAGTCATCCTTCAAGTGGGCCTGTGGTTTGCTTTTTAGTTAGAAAGGAAGAGTCTTAAGTTTAAGAGGGAAGTTGTGCAGCCCTGGAATTGTGCAAGATGAAAGGCAAGGCCGGTGGGGTAGAGGTGCTAGCGTCTTGGAGCAGGCGAGACTTTAGCAGATTAAAAATATCTGAATTTCTCGCTATTTTACAGTGAGCAGTAGTGTCCTGCAGGCAGTGAGGTCATGAGGGAGGGGCTGTTGCTTTGCTAAGAGGCTTCTCAAGCTTGTAAAGCAATTCTCTGGTTTCTTTGGCCATAGGCTTCATGTATGTAGATTTTAAGGCATAACTACTGACGTTAATACATTCTTACTTGTCATCATTTGAAGTGTAGAGGAACTGTGTCCTTTGGGGCAGCTCCATGGGAGCGTGTGGCTTATCTTATCCTCCGCACTAGGCTGAGCGAAAATGCTGAGCATCTTTATTGAAATTGTTTTGCTCCCAAGATGGTGCTCCCTGCCTACTCTTGGACCAAAACCCTGCAGCGGCCCTGACTGTGGTGGGGCTCTCCCAGCCCTTGTCCGCTTTCCTAGACTGAGTGACACTGAGCCTGGAAATGCAAGCACAGCACTCATCTTTGGAGCTGAAATTCTAGACTACAGCGTGAAGTTATCAAGTCGGTCTATGTAAATATGTGTGCAAATATTTGAGCATGGTCAAGTGGCCTGTGGCGGTGTCGCGTACCTGGGGAGAGTAAAACCTTCAGAGGCCTGGGCCCCACGTAGAACCCGCTGTGTAACGGGTCTGCATGGGGCTAGGAGCCGTAAGAGCCCAGCGGGTTCTAGTTGTGGCGACAAATGCACAACTCCAGGTTTTGACTAGAAATGATTGAATCACACACTTAGAATAGGTTTGTTTTCTTGCAAATTGTGCCTCAGCAAAGCGGCTGTTTGATATGTGGGGAAAAGAGCAGAAAACTCCCCAGGTGGCTGCTGTGCAACCAGGCCAGGGGATCCCTGCCCTACAGTGAAGTGTCCTGTGGACACAGGCCTCTGGCCCCATCTCGGTGGGGCAGGGGTCTGCCTCTGTGACTCGGTCACCACTATGCTCCTAGTCAGTGCCTTGCTGTCCTCCTGTGTCCTGACCCTGCCCCTCCCCAACCCTTGGCACCAGCTGGCCTTCTTAGACATTTTGCTTCTGTTGTGTGGCCCCCGCCCCCCCAGATTCTCTGGGCACACTGGACTGCCAGAGTTTCACACCTGGACGGGGCAGGCTTGCCGGGGAAAGCCAGGTCTGGCGTCAGTCTCTCAAAACAAGGGCCCTCAAGGACAGTTTCTTGTAAGTTCTTACCAATAAGCTATGTGTGAGCAGGAGAGCAGTGGCGGGGGGGCGGGAGGGGAGAGAGGGAGAGAGAGAGAGAGAGAGAGAGAGAGAGAGAGAGAGAGAGAGAGAGAGAAACCCTGAGCAGGCTCCACGCTCCCAAACAGGAGCTCGATCTCACAAACAGTAAGATAATGACCTGAGCTGAAATCCAGGAGTTGGATGCTTAACACCCTTAATTGACTGAGCCACCCAGGTGCCCCCAGGTAACATTTATTTTAAAGTGATTAATATGAATGGCTCGTTTGTTAAATTGTATGCTTTTTTGGTAAAACAAATGTCCTGTGTGAGCTGCCAGAGAAGAGTGTGGCTCTGGGGGGGCCTCAGAGGACCTGGTATTGCTGTCCTCGGAGCAGGTAGCACTGTGGCCTCAGCCTGCCTTTGCCTCTTGCAGTTTTCTCTAGCGAGTGCCCTGTCCCCAGGACAGTGAGAACGGGCCATTCAGAAAGACGAAACCCAAGTTCACTGGTCATTAGAAGAAAACGATAGTGAACATTCATAGGGTGTAAATGCACTTCACAACACAATTTGTTCCTTTTCTCATGACAGCAAGAGGATAATTAACTGGCGCTCCTGTCTCCATGCCCAGCTCCATGGAAGACATTTGCCCCTTGTCTCAGGAGTGAGAGCACTCTCCCCGGCTAGGACATGGGCAGAACACTGGAGACCGACGGGAGCACCTTTCACTCCCTAGCTCTGCTCTCCTCTGCCCCACTGTGCTTTTCTGAATGCCCGTTGCAGATCCTGTGTCCAGAGCAGACACATTTAGTGGGCCAGCTGTCCCCGGATTCTCTCTCTTTTTTTTTTTTTTTAATTTTTTAAAATGTTTTATTTATTTATTTTTAAATATTTTTTATTTATTTCTAGGAGAGAGAGAGAGACAGCGTGAGCAGGGGAGGGTCAGAGAGAGAGGGAGATACAGACTCTGAAATTGGCTCCAGGCTCTGAGCTGGCAGTCAGCACAGAGCCCGATGCGGGGTCCGAACCCATGAACCGCGAGATCATGACCTAAGCGAAAGTCGGACGCTTAACCGACTAAGCCACCCAGGCGCCCCGTTTTATTTATTTCTGAGAGAGAGAGAGAGAGTGAGATACAGAATCTGAAGCAGGCTCTAGACTCCAAGCTGTCAGCACAGAGCCCAATGCGGGGCTCAAACCCATGAACCGCGAGATCATGACCTGAGCCAAAGTCGGACACTTCACTGACTGAGCCACCCAGACGCCCCATGATCACGGCTTCTCAAATAGTGGATATTAACAGCCCGTGAATCTCCAGCGTCCGGCCTCAGAATGGAGATCGGCCCATCTTCCCACTGATGTGCTCGGTGTTCAGCTTCCCAGCCTCATGGCATCGGCTGTCCCTCGCGCTGCCCACCCTTCCGCACTTCACATGAAGGAATCCCCTACCCACTGCTTCTGTATTTTGACCCCCCATTTACTTCTTAGTTTTTTGGAATCTGGTTTCCATCTTGCCACCTGGCTTCCTGCTGTTTCGAATGCCCTCAACAGGGTCTGATCCACATCCAGATCTGGTGCCTCATTTCCCTGCGATCAGTCTCTTTCTTGAATCACTTACGTTCCCCACGTGTCTCCTACTTTTCCGCCTGTTTGTCACGGTGACTTTGCTCTCTGCTGAGCTTCGTTCTTCCTGCCAGCCTTCCTGGTCAGTCTCATGACGTCCAGGTGGTCTCCTTGGCCCTGGCTGTGCACCCAGATTTCAGCTTCCTCCCCCCTCAGCCCTCGGTGCCATCTGGGATCCCCCAGCCCCACACAGCTGGCAGACCCTTGCGTCCTCTGTGCCCTCAGTCTATCGACTGTCTCTCTGCTAGGCCCTGGCCACCTTGTGTCATAGGTCACTGGACCTCCTCTTTGCTCTTTCTAAAGTTGTCCTCTTGCGGAAAGTTTGGAAACTTTTGTGCAGAAATGACCCTCTGCAGATTTAAGTCTAGAACTCTGACGCGGGGCCCTCCTCATTTCTCCTCGCTCTGTCGTTTTGTACCCATTGCTCTGGGTGCGCTGCGTGCCTTCTGCTGCCTGTACTTATCTGTGCTCTTGCACATCACTAACTTACCTTCTTGGCATAACTTTTCTCTCCCTCTTCTCCTGGACTTAATTCTACGTATTCTTTAAAGCTTGGCACATAGACCTCCTACCTCTGTTCTCTACAGCGGGTGGGGATCTCTGTGCTCCCAGGACCCCAGAGCAGGTTCTGCTATGTCTGAGGCACCGATGCCTTGCCTGCCTACATATTTCTGGGTGTCCTCAGAGCGCTCTTAGTAGTAGCAGTGGGGGATCTGCGGCTTTGTCCTGACAGAGGGGCGCTGGGCTTAACTGCTGAGTGAGTGGCTGACAGATGGGGCAGGACTGCAGCTCTGAGCCCCGCTCTCTGGGCAGTCGCAGATGTTAACAGATGGTGGGCCGGGAGCCCAGTCGTGGGGCCCTGGCAGGAGGCAGAGCTTCCAGGGGGAAGGTCCAGCACACACGGGCCAAGCCCGCCTGGGAAGACAGGTCTGAAGGAGCCCGAAGAGACACAAGGTGCGTATATAAATCACATCCCAAGGGCAGTAGCTCCGCTGTGTGGGGAACAAGACTTTCAAAACCACTTTAGTGACCATTTACCTATGGGGGATTTCTGTGTGAATTTTAAATTATTTTCATTCATACCAAGTATGTTTTCAAGGGCCCGTGACCGTATCTGGCGGCATCCCGCAAGGCCCTTTGTGTATTTGAAAGTGGTTCCACGGCTTGTAGTCTTAACAGTAGACCAAGTGTAGATTTCCGTTACTCAGTCCGTTTTGTTACACAGCACCCTGGAAGAAGTTGCCAGTTTAGAATAGGGATTTTATGTGCAGAGTTGATGGGTATTAACGATGGTCTCTTTGTTTCCACAGAGGTTGCCGAGCTTGAAGCTAATTTACCCTGTAAGTATAGCGTCCACACTCAGACCGTAAGTGCTGCAGGGTAACTGCACAGAGAAGCTTTTTATGTTGTAATGACCTTGCATGGCCCAAAGCCTGGTTTTCATGTGTGTTAGGAGTAAGTTATAATTTTGTGCAAACAGGTAGGATTTTTCCAGGCTCTGGTTAAGAATGAGGTACTTACCGTCCTTCTGAAGGTAGCACAGTGGTGCCTCCTCTCTCCTTCCTATGGCAGGTGACTGGTTCAGTTTTGCATCTCTTCCACAGCGTTCTGACCCACGTCATCTTTTTTAGAGACCGCACGTGCATGAGCTAAGGAGGGGGAGAGAAAGGGAGAGAGAGAGAGACAGACAGACACGGGGCTCCATCTCACAAACCATGAGACCATGCATGACCTGAGCCGAAATCAAGAATTAATGTTCAACTGATTGAGCTACCCAGGCATCTCTGTCCCACGTCCTCTTTAAGTGAAAAGATACAAATCAGTGACAGTCTTATTTTTGTGAGTGACAGTCCCACCTTTTTAGTCTACAAAGTGCTTACTTGTAATTTATCTTCGTGATGAGCTGGGATGGCCACACTGCCCTGATGTCACCAGCTGTCCTCACCGTGCTCAGTCCTTCCGGCCTGGGCACAAGGACCGACAGTGTGGTCCTCACCTGTGAGCAGGCCCACTCACCAGGCAGCTCATTTGTGTGATGTGTCAATAATGTGGGTTTTTTTCCTGTCCTTCCCAAACTTAACTAATTTTTATAAGACCACTAAAGCCTGAAAGCTTTGACTATTTTACTTTCGTTTTTTAATTAGGACTTTTTGTCATCATACTTGGTTAAAAACAGTTCAGGGGTTGAGGATGTTTGTCAGTGTAGGTGAAATACTTTATACGTCGGTGTCCTGGTCTGCCTCCTGGTCAGTCTCCAAGTTCTAGAGAACTGGGTGTCTGGCCCACCTGACACAGGTCAGAGAGGGTCTGCTCCCGCCGCCATCTAAAGGTAGAAGTATGGTAGTGGGTGTGCCCTTAAGTGGCCACAGAATCATTTGTAAGGGTAAGTACACACAGTTTCTTGAAAACTTATTTTTAATGTATGGTATTTACATATGGGTGTGGTGGCTTGTAATATAAAATAGTCTTCTTAGTGTGGGTCTCAGTCAAAAAAGTCTTAAAAATACCTGAATTGCTTGACCTTAAAGTTTTCTTCTAGTGAGAACTGGAAGGAAGTGTCTTGGGATTCTCTTAAAGGGCTTATGTATGTACACATGCATATGTTGCATCAAAGACACGTGGTTCATTTTGTCCTTAAATAAGACTGACGGAGATTGCTGGGCTTTAGCCCATAGAAGAGGATAGCTTTAGCTTTATCTAAGCTCTTGGTTTAAAAACAAACTGGTTTGTCAGTAGAGCATGTGACTCTTGAGCTCAGGGTCCTGTGTTCAAACCCCATGTTGGGCGTGGAGCTTACTTTAAGAAAAAAAAAGGTATGAAAACAAACTGTGTAGTCGGGTTTCAAGCCAGGATTTTAATTATTACCTTAGGTTTGAAAAAGGTAGCTTGCTAGCCTTGATGGCCCAGGTTCAGATAAAAACAAAAAACAAACTACATGTTCTCTGCCCCTTTTCGCACTTTCTCCCTACCCTCTGCCCTGTCAGAGTCGGGTTAAGTTAGTTGATACAAGTAAGCCATGCTTTCCAAAAGCACACAACTCATCACAGAGGAAACAAAGATCCACCAAAGAATCCTTAGCATCTCTCTAAAGTGCTAATGAAGGAAAAGAAAAGACCCTGCCACATGGGAGTGATGCTTCCGTACTCCTCGAGAACCAGTTTGGAGCTCCAGGCAGGCAAGAAGCACAAAATCCCTCTCAGATAGACAGAAGGATGGTTGTGCCAGCCCGTGCCAGCAGGCAGAGGAAAGGCCAGAGTGGCAGTTTTCATACAGCCCTTGCATTAACTAAAACAAACCAGACTTTTCACTTTTTGTGGTGGTAGTTAGGCTTTTTTGAGTTTTAAAATGTTTGGTTCTTTTTAGTAGTTTTATTGTTTTTTTAATCTACCTTGGTAACTTATTAATGGTGGGCCAGTTTGTTCTAGAAGGATGGATTTCTACATATATACCTTTATTAAAACGAATGAGAATGCTAAGTATTAAAAACGAATGATGCCAACTTCAGCTGATGAGTGAACGTTTTCAAAGCCCTTGTCGTATGTTTTTGTTACATATATCTCACTGGAAAGATAGCATTTATCATTTCAAGTTAAGATTAGGAAGAATGGGGAGCATGGGTAGCTCAGTCGGTTAAACGTCCGACTTCAGCTCAAGTCATGATCTCACGGTTCGTGGGTTCGAGCCTCGCATCAGGCTCTGTGCCAACAACTCAGAGCCTGGAGCTGCTTCAGATTCTTTGTCTGCCTCTCAATCTGCCGCTCCCTGTCTCACACTATGTCTCTCTCTCTCTCTCTCTCTCTCTCTCCCTCCCTCCCTCAAAAATGAATAAACATTTAAAAACTTTTAAGAAGAAAGATTAGGAAGGATGAAACACATTCCCGTTATTCCATGTGTAGTTCACACATGTGGTTTGGGCAAAAGTCTCGAACTACAAGGCTCCCAGCTTATTTATAAAATAAGGAGTGTGACTGTGTAATCTCTAAGATCCCTTCTTGCTCTTCTAGACTAAGTTGCCTTTCACTGTGTGGTGATTTTCCCAGGGACTGAAGGAAGAACCCCTACTAACGGTTTTGTGTGGTTTTCACGCATCGCACCAGCCTGTTTCTGAAGTCATGGGATGAGGTGTGGTGAAAGGAGAAGGAAGAGCCATGAACTAGTCTTTAATTTGGGAACTAAACCTTCTGTTGATAACCTGTGTGATTCCGGACTGGTTGCCAGACCTCTCTGGACCTTTGCGTCATGCTTGAGGACCTTGGACTAGATGATCTCTAAGGGCCACTTCCAAGTCTAAGTTTGAAATCATCCTATTTTCGATGGAATTTCATACCATTATAAAAGCAGGCAAATGTTTGCAGTGGGACTTGTAAGAAATACACTCAGTAGGTGATCCAGGGAGTTTAGTGTAGGATCTTCTGAGTTTATCAAGTATGGACAATTTCTCCCTATGTTCCTTCCCGATATAGTGGGTGTTTATTCCTGTGTGCTTACTGTTCTTCTCTACCCTTTGTTTGAAGGAAGCAGATGTAGGATGTAGCCAGCTTCCATCTGACTGCCAGCCACTACCTCTTCTGGTGGGAGCTCCTTGTCCTGGTTCACCAGACCCCTTCCGGGGTGGTGCAGTGGGCATAGGGCGCTGCCGTCCGAGCAGAGCTAGCTGGGATGTGAGAACTGTTTTTTGTTGTTGTTGTTGTTTTAGTGCCAGGTAAACTCTGGGTGCTAGCTAATTTAATGGGCACCTTTTTGTTGTTGTTATTAACTGTTTTTTTTTTAAATGTGTATTTATTTTTGAGAGAGAGACAGATAGAACGTGAGTGGAGACAGAGAGGGGGGCACAGAATCCGAAGCAGACTCCAGGCTCAGAGCAGTCGGCACAGAACTTGATGTGGGGCTTGAACTCATGAACTGCAAGATAATGACTTGAGCCAAAGTCTGATGCTTAACTGACTGAGCCACCCAGGCGTCCCTCATGGACACCTTTTAAGTTTCGATTTACCGTGGTGGGCCTGAATAAGTGTGGTGGTGGGCGAACAGCCCATAAAGCCTGCGTTTTCCTGGTTTCACCAGTTTAGTTAGCCTTACCCACATTTATTAATCTTGAGGTCTGGTTTTCTCTTTTCAGAAAAGTAGCATTATTCTCAAAGTTAATGGAAAGATCTCAGAGTTAGTGATCGTTAGAAGGTTGAAAGCAGCCATCTCACTTTGGAATGAAGGAGTGCAGGGCTGTAAGGAGGCAGACACAGGGCAAAGCCACTGGGTTGCAGTGTTAGCACAGCTGGTGTCACAGCAAGAGCAAGGAGGGGTCGACAGCCTCCTCCAGCACCTTAAATTCCACGTGTGTTTCAAGGTTAGACTCCGCCTAGGGGCTGCTGCTGGCTGTCAGACCTTCCTGACGTGCTGTTTCTTTTGCAGGTACGTGTAAGGTGCATTTTCCTGATCCAAACAAGCTCCACTGCTTTCAGCTAACGGTAACCCCAGGTAATGTGCTTACATACTCTAGTGTTACAGTGATTTTTGAGACAGCAAAGTTTCAAAACTGCCCAGGTTTGTAATATTTGGCTTGATTTGTCCTCTAACTTTTTGAAAGTCAAGACAGTAATGGCTTGATGCCACACAAAGAGAAGATACGTGCTTTGTAGTCAAATAAAGCAGGATACAGGGAATCTGGGGCACTCCGTGTGTACTCCAGAAGCAAAGTACAGACTGACGGCCGGGGTACAGGCCACAGAGGCTCCTGGTGTGCTGTGAAGACCGTGAGCTTTGAAATCCTAATTGGCGCTGCTGTTTCGTGGCAGTGTGACCGTGGGTCAGTTGCTTAATCACCTCTTTGCCCCAGCCTGCCCAGCTAGAAAGTGAGCAGCAAGTAGCGCCTATCTCATGGGGCAGTTATGAGGATTAAACAGATAGCGTGTGCAAAGCGTTCCAGCCCCAGGTCTGGCTCAGGGAAGTGAGCAGATTACCAGCTATCCGTGTGAGGGCTGATAAGAGTCTAAACTCCAGGTGCTCCAAGATGGTAATGTACTCCTCCTCAGTCGGACTGGGCAGTAAGAAGGAGGACTCGTGTGTTTTCTTGTTGCGGTGCGGCTCTAAGCATTGCACAGCCCGCCAGCGTTCACGTCAGGCAGCCGGGGCCATGCTGTGACCAGCCGGTGCTGCTGTGCGTTGGGCGGGGGAAGGGAGCGTTGTGGAAATGGAGGGTGTTATTTTATTTAGGGGATGGAAAGGGAGTGAGAAACTGAGAATAATGAGTCACTCGCCAATTAGAAAGTGGAAGAGAATACAGAATTTCAGTAGGCGATAATGACCCTACAAATGAGACCTGGCAATTATCTCCCTGCAGGTAGGATGGGTTATTTTCTGTGGAAGATGTTTTATAATAACTGGAGAAATCTCATTTTCAGAATGTGCTTGACAACTTAAAATTTTGTTTAATCCCTTTGGTGGCTCTACGAACATTGCTGGACATGTATGTAAACTTCTGGTACTGTTTCCACTCACTAAGCACCCGGGGCAGTACCTGGGCACAGGCTCCACACGCCCTACATCGAGAGAGAGCGAAGCTCAGGACTTCAGGAAATGATGACAATTAGAACCCCCTCTGGCCGCCTTCATAAAGCAGACTACACACTGTGCTGTGTTGAGCAAGGATTGTTTACTCACGGTCACTATTCCGAATGTCAGTGACTGTCATCGTTGTTAAGTGATGCAGAGTATTTTCAGAAATTGTTGTGGGGATGAAGATGGGTTCTCTGTACTCAGTGGTCTCGGACCGTGTGTTTGTTGTAAAGACGTTTTCTTCCCTCTGCCTCTCTCGGGCATTCCCAGTGGCTGGTGCTCTGGGCATCACCGGGGCGTGGCCTCTGTGGTCCCTCCCGGCCGCTCAGAGACCTCTGTTGACTTTGTCTGGCTTGTTACCATCTGACATGAGTGGGTCTGGGTCAGGTCCAGCCTCTGAATAAGAGTTTCTCTTTTTTTCTTTGTCTTTTTTTTTTTTTTTTTTTTACAAATAGTTTATTGTCAAATTAGTTTCTACATAACACTCAGTGCTCATCCCCAAAGTGCCCTCCCTCATGCCCTCTCCCTCACCCCCGCCCACCCTCCCCCCCCCCACCCCCCC